TTAATTTTATAGAAATATTATTTTCAGAACTGTGAATAGCTAAGAGAATATCTTCCTCTTGATCAAGATATATTAAAAATCCTATTTATAGTTTTAATTACAATACTGAATATAGTGTTTTATGCTATTTTATGTGTTGAATATAGCATTCATATAAAATCTTCTGGTAGGGGAATATTTTAATCCTTTATCAGTGAATACATACTTAGCAAAATAAATCTTTGAGGGGGGCAAGTTCTGAGTCTCGTTATCAGTGGATTAATATTTAACATGATATAAAACAAGGCAAGAAATGTTGACTTTAATTCTGGCTGTCGGTAGCCAGCCGTGATTAAATAGCATGTCACTTCATCTTTGAACCTGTTATTCCTAAACTGTAAAATGAAAAATTTTATAGCTCTTTCAACTCTAAAATCCAGAAATTATAATGATTTCTTTTTTTTCGAAGACCACATCATTTACCTTATCTCACAAGGAACTAACTAATTCTTATTTATTTTTATTTCAGACAAGGTTCCTTTGCTAATAGAAGAAAAACTACCTGTGATAGGAATTGGAAAGCATCTGTGTGGTATGGCAACAGGTATGTAAACAGACCAATAATGTCTATACTAACATTAATTTTTAGCCTAACATGGTCCCAATCATTGAAATAGCCTCTTCTGAAGAATTCAGATGACTTATCTTTACAGCTCATTCACTCATCTTCATAATTGCCCTGTCTCTGTATAATCTCAATTTTTTTTTTGCAGGATGATTGAAGAGTTTTGTGGGTAACTATTGTGTGATGTGCAACCTCAAAGTTCTTTGGGTTCTGTTTCGAATAAAAAAGTGAAATAATCATTTATAGCATTTACAGAAGCCACTGACTTTAGAAAACTTCCTCAGAGAAGACTCTGAGCCCTCTCCCACTAGATAGTTTGCATTTTTCAAGTGTTGGGATATTGGCGAAGAGAAAGAGAAATGTTTTGCAAAAAAGTTAAAATACCTTATTTTAGCACTTTCATCCATGAGATTTAGCATGTAGAAGATGAAAAGAACCCGGACTTTGGAATTAGATAGTCTAGCACTTACCTGTGTAATCTTGTCATAACATTTGTTAGGTCCTACAACACGGACATGCAGTCCCGAGAAACCTGACTGCCATGGAGTCAGTGCCAACTCCTAGTGAGCCTATGGAACAGAGCAGGACTACCGCTCTGGGCTTCCGAACCTGTCGCTCTCTGTGGGAATGGAAAGCCCCATCTTTCTCCCAAGGAGTCTCTGGTGGTTTCAAACTGCTGGCCTTGTGGTTAGTTTTAATTACAATACTGAATAGTTTTGTAACCACAAAGCCACCAGGCATAACCACAAAGCTACCAGGACTCCATTGACACATAGTTGTGCTCAATAAATGTTAACCTTTTCTCATTCCCACTAATATCATCATCGATGCTCCTTACTGAAGTTCTTTGTAAATGATGGGTTGAAATAGTTTACTACAGCTCCTTCTGATTCTAAAATAACATCATCCTTTTCATCATTTCTCTAGTTCACATTTCTGAAAAAAAATTATTTAAGTCACATATAAATATACTGGCTAAACATAGTTTTTCAGGAGAATACTGTATACAGTAATAAAATAGCTATTGATTTCTCGATACAATGAGTAGTGAGTTCCTAATGTTTGCTGGCTTAAATTCATATCTTGAACTAAAAATATTAGTGAATATCAGATCATTTGGTATTTATATGTCACATCTGTGGGTAGGAATATTTTAAAACATGCTTTTGATTAAACAGGATGACTAAATCTAATCAGACAGAAAATGTGTGTTACAAAAGGATACATTGGGATCTCCAATATTTCAACAATATATTGACTTTCAGTGAAACATAGCTATAGCCTTCAAAAATCCATTTGTTTAGTTTAAAAACATTTTGTTTTAATATGGTATGCATCCACCTATACGTTTGTGTATATTAACTATAGGATCCTCAGTTCTTTCTCATGAAAGATACTCAGTAGCTAGTCATTAAATGATTGTCTAA